CTACAAGTACTTTGTGGAAAATCAGAAGCGGCACGTTTTGCATCTCTAACCAGTGAGCAATCGCTTTCTTTTCCTTTCCTAATAAATTACAGGCAGACTTGAACAGATGTCAGGTTGGCATTCAAAACCTAAAATATAGCTGAAAAGCAAGTTATGACTAATACAAGGGAAAAAGATGAATGTCAGAAAGCTTCATTTTTTTCTTCTTTTTTTCAAATTTCAGATAAGCTCTTTAGCCTTAGGGTTCCTTTTACAGAGCCCTGGAGTTCGGCTAGATGTCTTAACCCCCATTTAAATTGCAATCTCTGCTCATGAGTGGGGGTGTGAAAATGCATTTTAAGAGTGTCAGTGTTTATGTTAATCTTAGCGAGAACTCCCTCTCTCCCAAATATGGCATGTTCAAAACCTTAGCACCCTTTCTTCCACTCTATTTTATTTGCACTGTTCTTAGCATCTGAAAGATGTCTGCATGTGATTGAAAGGCTCCTTATCTCTCAGCAGCTCCACTTCATAGAGAATTGCAGTCTCACTTATGATAGCAGAAGAGTTGCTTTCCTCTAGAATTTCAAAAGAAGCCTTAAAAATACAGATTGAAAATGGGCTTAAAGAGGGAGGCATAGAGGAAAGGGGACCAAAAAAAAAAAAACAATGCATAAGACCACAACAAGTGGCTTTCCTCCCCACTAGGTGGCCTGAATATCTCCAAGGTAAAGATCCACCAAAGGAGGCATGAGGACTTAAGTCTCCACACCCTTTTCCTTCTAGCTCTAAAATGGATAACTTCTACCAAAGCCCCTTGCCTTGGATATATGTGAACCTAGTCCTAAAGTTACATGAAGGGACACTAAGTCTTTAACAATTATTCCACTGTTCTTTGAAAAGGATTTGTGTTTTTGTTTTTTTTTTTGCTCTGACATTTACAGTTTAGAGGTAATTGCCAGGGGTGCTGAAAAATGAAGTTTCTTTGCAGAAACTCTATCATTGCTAACAAAAGAGCTACAATGAGAACTGAGGAAATCAATCGTTTATCCTGAGCACGCTCCAAAACTGCATGCAAAGGACTAAGTGTGGTGAATGTATAAATTCAGTTGACATCTGAGTATTCTCAAGGACAGCAATTAGCTGTTGAGTTTACTCACCTGTATTTCCAGATACTGGTTCTTGATGCCCACATCTCTACCCTGGCACTCAAAAGGTGCTTCCATTATCCCACAGAGTAAAGATTTAAGGTCATTCGTAATTAAACATCTATCATTATAGAGGCTGGAGGATATTCTGACTAAGTAGTTATTTGCTATCCACTAAGTGCAAGGTATAGGTCTAGTTTTCTTTGCAAATACTTTTATATAGGTCCGAGGAAGAGCTGCCCCAGGAGGGTTTGGGTGAGTCCAACTGCTATAGTCAAGGAAAACAACAACAAAAACAAAAGTCTAAACTGATATTCCCCCTAAGTAATCTCTTTTCCTATTTCTATACATAGCCTTTCTTCCTCTGTCTGTAGGACTGTATGTGACTTCTTTTCCCCTTTGAGGCTTTTCTTGATTTTTTTTTTTTCCCCTTATTGATTTTAGAGAGAGGAAGGGAGAGGGAGAGATAGAAACATCAATGAGAGAGAACATCGACTGGATGCCTCTTGCATGCCCCCCACTAGGGATCAGGCCCACAACCTGGACTATGGGTTGACACTCAATCAACTACCTGGGCCTTTCCTTGATTTTATTTATTTTTTATTTATTTTTTATCCTCACCGAGGACATTTTTCCATTTTTGTTCAGATAGAGTGGGAGGGAGAAAGAAAGGGAGAGAGAAACATTGACGTGAAAGGGACACATCGAGTGGCTGCCACCTGCATGACCAACCAGGGCCGGGGACAAACTGCAACCAAAGTACGCGCCCTTAGTGGGAACCAAACCTGGGTCTCTCTGGACCGTGGGAAAACGCTCTAACCACTAAGCCAAATGGGCCAGGGCCCTTTCCTTGATTTTAATTCTATAAAAATATAACAAAAACAGCAAGGTATATATTACATAACTGAAGAGAACAAAGAGATTGGAAACTAACATACAGGGTGAGGGCAAAAGCAGGTTTACAGGTGTTCATATGGAAAATAATACAATAGTTAATAAATAATCATACAAGAATAAACTCTGTTTTTTGTACTCGCAACTGTAAACCTACTTTTGCACCATCCTGTATAGGACATTTATTTCATGTATATTACCTCATGTGATTCCCAACTTTATTCATAACTATGTGCCTCTGGTTAGTCCTATAGTCTTTCTACATCTCACTGGCAACATTCTGTACGTATCTAAACTATATTTTCAATTTTGAAAAGCAACATTAAGTTTATAAGCAAAAAGAAAGAACTGTATTACCTAGAAGCATAATTATCAGTCTCATAAACATGACAAAAGAGAATTCTAAATTTATCACTTTGTGAGCTTCAAACTTTGATGTACAGGCAAAAAAGATCCATTTAGTTAAAATTCCTGTTTACAAAATAGACATAACTCTAGACTTCATGGTAAAGATAATGATTTGGTCTCAAGCCAAAAGTAAAAAAGTTCTCTGCTTAAATCAAAACAAAACAGTCCCATAATTATTCTTTTCCAATCACTTTTTTTTTTCATTTAATTGATTTAACTAATCATATCCAGTATCCAACTGTATCCCATAACCATACAGGTTTATCTATTTAGTTAACAGAGACTGAGGCAAATAATCAGCCATTTTTTTCCACCTGGCAGGGTAAAAGAACACAGGGTATATATCAAAAGAACTTATGTAGCATTATTTTATATTCTATCCAAAAGAAGCAATTTATGTTTTTATTTACCTTTACCAAAGCCTAATGAGAACTTTATAACCACACTGTACTTGGAGTGCAGTAAGGAAAAAAGAAGCCTCTACTAGAAAATAGGGAATGACACATACACAGCAAGAGAATTATTTCGCAGCCATTTTACCATAAAAAAGTAGCTTTAGGACACTGAGAATCTTCATTCAGAATAAAGAAATAGGTCTTTCAATCCAGCTCAAAAGCCAAGGTAGCTTTATACTGTACTTATTCTCTTTTAAATCAAATTGATAGCAAGTGCTTCTTGATGGGAAAAAGCCATGACGAGAAAAAAAATAATGCTTTTTAAAAAAGTACAGAACTCTTTTTTGTCTAATTACATTTGTGTAAAAATATTAGAAAAATAAATCCATAAAAAGGGTTCTGGATAGCACTCATAAACAAAATTTAAATCCAGGTCCTTAGTCAAAAAGCATGTTAAAAACAAAAGCAACTGTAACAAGTCAACTGATTTCTATATAGATTGCAGAAACACGGACTAAATTTACTCAGGAATTCCATATTTGTTTCGGTTTAATTTCAAACTCTTTGACACCTGACAAAATCACAAATCAACCAATATGAGTTTTACTCCGTTATGAATTATCTACTCAACCTCAGACAGAGGTCCTAATGAGCAAGGTTTAGATAATGCACAAATACAAAACTAGTATCTGAACAACTGAACCCTCTGTAGTTTCCAATGGTGAGGATATAGTCATAATATAATTAAAAGATATGGCTTTACAAAAGCAGTTATTCTTCTACTTGTTGGCTGGACTATAATGTTCAAAGACACAGAATCATTAAACTCTTTCTATACCAGAGCTCGCTCTTGAAATCCAGAAAAAACATTCTATAAGTTACAATATTTGAAAGCATCCTTTCATCTCTGCCTATACCTACAATATACTTAAACAATTTTTCATTTCTTGTTAAAAAAAGTATTATGGATTTATTGTGCCTCAAAATATACATTGCCAAGATAGTGAACCATAACATTTTTTACTATTTTCCAAATTAAAATAGTTTTTTATGGACTTGGCCTTTGTATCTTTCAGATAAAAAAGCATGTTATTGCCATTTCAAGGTGTATAAAACTCAGGTGATGAGGGTCTCTGTCATTTTCTCTTAATCCAATTCCAGAGTCGACCTTTACCCAGTGAACAGGTGTGTGCTGTGCCTGTAATTTATCAGAGTGAGCGACCAGGCAGAAAAGCAACTAACAATAGGAGGCTAATAGAAGCAAGCACTTAGTGCCTAGAAAGCAGTTCGTATCCCCACCATTATGAATATACTTTTATCTCCCAGTAGCAATTGAAAGATAAAGTATGATGGGGGTGAGAGGAGTAATATATTCCTATTCCTTCAGTTTTATTAATACTGTTTTTATACTAATAATCTGCCAGAAGCTGTTATGTTATAAATTCCTTTCTGAGATATTGTGTGGCTCACATTCCAATCCAACCTATAACATGAGTAAAAAACAATCATGACAGCATTTCTACTAGGGCAAATGACACCACTTCACACAGATAAATTAAATAAATCTTCAAGAAGAAAGTGATAGATAGTGCATTTCTTTGTATGTAATAGGGAAGCTCCTATGTATACCCTGCATTTGCCTTATTAGATCCAACTTATCTAATTTAAAAACATGCCAAGTATCCATCCATTTACTAGATATGGAGATGTACTGATTAAGTAGTGCAACAGCACACTACGAAGGAGCAGCAGTCAATATTAGAAAATGCTCACAGTCGAATAGATAATAATTATTCAGCAGGGTAAATCTTACCCATAGTGTATCTTTAGAGTCGGGTGAAATTTCTAAATATTCCCTATTCTAAAACATTAATAAACAACTAAATAAAATGCAATGTCTAAATATGTCCAAGAAAAAAACATACTTGAATAAATAAATAAAATGGGGCAAAACTACAAATATTTCTATGATTTTCCCATAAATTTAAGCTGTAATTTAAAAAGTTATAACATGTCAAAGATTTTTTAGAAAACTTTTTTTTTTTAAGAAGTTAAAAGAGAAAAATACTTTGGCAGGTCTGAAGAATAATTTCAGAAGATCGCTGAAAAGAGACTTCATCATACTCTTTTTTTTTTTAAACAACACACAATTTTATCAAGCTTTATAAAAACTCACCCATCTGCTCCACAATCTCTGGAGGAAACACTCGGGAAGCAAATGCTCGTCGAAAAATATCTGAAAATTCCTTGTCCAGACCTCCTATTCCCATTTTTTCAAAGTTCCAGTCAGGATTGATGATAGACTGGCGATTTTCCTTGGTTTTAGCTTTCCCTATGTCAAACAAAGATAATCAAACATGAAACAAGAACTTCATCAGTAAGTGTAAAAAGACAGACAGACAGAGCTCACAAGGCATCCTCAATGAACAAAGAGAAGCTACCCTTATACAAACATGAACAACATGCTCTTAGCTGATTTTCTAAGAAGGATGAGTTTTGCTATGTTAACTATTTTGTCCGGTCCCCATTCAGGGTCAGTAAAACACTTTCAAAATGACTAGCTACACTCATGCTGCAGTCCATTTGTAATCAATCTATGGAGCTTGGGTCTCATCAACCTTTAATCCTAACCAAGTTAACTAATTTGGTTGATTACAAGAAACACCATGTGCATATCTGATGAAGACAACACTAGCTGCCAGAAATGCAACTGAAATCTAGCCATTCCTCAAGGCTCCTAAAGAGAGTGTATTTAAAAATACATATACTTATCAAGATTAAACTTATAATTGAGTATATAACCCCTCAGCCTGAGAAGATGCACTAAATAAGTTTGATGGCTTATTTAGTTTTCTTCATTTGTACACAACAGTCTAAAATCATCCTGAAGTCTATACTGATTTCAAAATTCATGTTTTCAAATTCTTTCAGACAAAAATTATTTCACTTAAATGTCATAGTGCCACCTAAAGTAACTTAAGAGAATCACATTAACTATCACAAACACAAAGAATAAAAATACCTTAGTACATTCTACTATAAATTTTTAAAATTATAGTTTATTTTTAATTAGGGAAGAAAATATTGTATTAGAAAAAGCTTATCTTAGATGGCAGTTTTATGGTTAGAGTTTTGTGGACTTAACATTTCCTTTACAAAGCTATGGAAAATATATTCTTACACTCTACTGCCCTCTTGTGGCCAAACTTACTGCATGCTAAATCACTAAAGAATTTTGTTTTCCAAAGGAGAAAACCTATCGATCACAACTCTGCATGAATTACTTAGAAATACCCACACTGCATGAAAGTCATGCAACTCCCTTGGGATAAGATAACTTAACAAAAGGTGTACAAAACATAAAATACAAAGAAATCACTATAGAAATGTATTGGATTAATAATAGGAGCTTTTGATACATCCCACATCCATAAAATGACATATATAGTTATTAAAAATTATGCTGAAAAGTGTATTTATTAAGATACTTGAAATATGTTAGGCAGAAATCATAAATTATAAAACAGTATAAAAATAGAAGTAAATTTTAAAGTTTTAGACTTGTGTGAGTTGTTTTTGGGTGTCTACCCATACTTTATAAAATAAATATTTTACCTTATAATTGAGAAAAAACAATAAAAGGGAATAATAATTTATGAATAAAAAAAGAGGCCACACATTCTAAGGAAACTAAATAACCCTGGATATGACAGCATGCAACCAGAGAAAATTCTCTATTTTCTATTGCAGTAGACATCAACTTAGTTATTAAATCAATCAAAACTAAACACCAATCAGAAAGAATATATGTACCCCTATGTTCATAGCGGCACTATTTACAATAACTAAGATCTGGAAACAACCCAAGTGTCCATCAGTAGATGAGTGGATTAAAAGGCTGTGGTACATGTACACAATGGAGTACTATGCAGCTGTAAGAAAGATCTCTTATCCTTTGAGATGGCATGGAAGGATTTGGAGAGTATTATGCTCAGTGAAACAACACAAGCAGAGAAAGACAAATACCACATGATCTCACTTATTTGAGGAATATAATGAACTAAACAAACTGCTGAACAAAATTAACCCAGAGACATAGAAGTGGGGTACAGACTGACAAGCCTCAGAGGAGAGGGGTTTTGTGGGGGAAGAGATAAACCACTGAACTTACATGCATGTATGCATGACCAATGAACATAGATAACAAAGCTGGGGATGGGACGGGGGGAGGGGAGGAGGGTGTCAATGGGGGAAAAATGAGAAACATCTGTAACAAAACAAATTAATAAATTAAAAAAAAATTTTTTAAAAGGTCAAAAAAATAAATCAATCAAAACTGTACAGTTAATGGCATGTTTGCAAAATGGTGAGTAATTCTTAACGCCCAATCTGCATTATTTTAATATAATAAAAGCAGGCCTAATGTAGACGAGCAGGACTGAACTATGAATCTGTTGGAAAGATTTTCTTTGCCTGCACATTGATCATTTAATTCAATCACTTAAAAAAATGGCATTAGTATTGCATTTAACACACAACCAGGTGAGGGACAGTCCACACAATAACTGGCTAATTCTCAAGGTCATACAAGACCATTAAAGTCTGAGGAACTGTCAGAGATTGGAGAAGACTATAGAGACTAAACAACTAAATGCAGTGTGGGTCCTGAATTAGATCCTGAAACAGAAAAAGGACATAAGGAAAAACGTGAAATCTGAATAAAGTCTGTAGTTTAGTTAGCACTATAACCATGATAATTTAGCTTTGGTAACTGTACTATAGTTATTTAAGATGTAACATCAGGGAAGCTGGTGAAGGGTATACAGGAATTCTCTGAACTACTTTTGAAAATCTTCTGTAAGCCTAAACCTATCTCAATATAAAAACTTTAAAAGTTACTGTATCTTTCCCCTTATATTTATAGTGTGGTTACTAGGAATTTAAAAATTACATATGTGGCTCACATTATATTTCTATTGGACAGTGCTGATGTAGAGAAGGTTTTAAACTTTTCCTACATTAGCACATTGTGATTTCGTGAAAAGGTTTCTCAAGAGAGGTGCCCCTATTCCCCTTCCCACTTGAAAATCACTGTAGTTGAGTCACATACATTAATAAGATGACCTCGCTTCATTCAGAATCTTCTAAAAACTGTCTTACCAGTAAGATTGAGTGATGAATTTTCTGCTTTTTCAAATGCAACTTGACTGTTTCCAACAACCAGTCCTATTTCAATCTGTATAGAAAGACAATAATTAGTAGTCTAATAGCAGACTTCTGGACTTCTCAAAGCAAAGCCAAATACAAAGAGGAAATGTGGTCTCTCTGAGCAGAACAAATCTTCAAACTATCATCTAAGTGATATTTACTTTTGTCATAACTACCTTCCAAATTATTCCCATTTTCTTTATTTCAATGTTTATATCTTTTCATAATGTCTGTCTTATTGTTATTATTTATTTACAATATATATCATCTGCATTCAACCAGGATTACAAATTTCAAATTATTATTAGGTCTGCATATAAGTTATTTTATACTATATTTTAATAACAATACTTGCTATAAAATCAATTTTCTCTCCCCACTATCATAAGAGTATATAATATGAAAGAAATCACTGAGCAAGAGAATGGGTAGAAAAATCTATTCATCTTCACAATTCACATCATAAAGATTATCTAATAAAAATTATTAGAAATAAAACATACCTTCTGTCTTTTACCCGTTCCTGGTTCTCCCTTCAGGATGCTGGGATCCATGGCTTCAATATCCTTTACTAGTAAGCCAAAAAGCTTTTCATTGAAGCTAAATACAAGCTATGTAGAAAAGAAGGGCAGAAAAATCACTTTATGGTATAATGGCTCGACTCTCATATCATCAGCAATGTTTGCAAAATGCAGAAAAGCTTTGTCCTATGTGTTCCTCTTAAATCGGCTCTACTGGCAAACTACCCTCTAGCCAATGAGAGAAAAAACTAGTATTTATTGAGTTATTTGCCGTGTACCTAAAATCACCATAGGAGATTATGTAATTAATATTCAAAAACTCTCTTGGAAAAAAACATTATTCCTCAGTTTGAACTTGTGAGAAAGCTGAGATCCAGAGAGGGGCTAAGCAATGGGACCTGAGGCACAGTAAATGATTCAGCCTGGGTCAATGACTCTGATATCCATGCTTTTCTACAATCAATACAAAATGCCTGCCATATGAGTGCAGAGACAGCATCTGATGCATTCATTTGCCAAGTATTTATTGAATGTGTTCCACAATCTAGACTCTCCTCACATGCTGGGGTGTAACAGTAAATATAACAGGTAAAGATGACTGTCAATCCTGCCACTACAACCTACTACAAAAAGGAATAAATACTAAGAACAGTGATTTGGGGTAAGATATTTATTTCTTCTCTATATTATAGAGAACTTTCTTTCATGGGTTTATAGATGTCCGCATGTTACTAGGTTTAAAATTATTACAAATACCAATGCATTTTCTTTGAAATATTCTTCTAAGCATTTTCTACTAACATACTAAAGCTAAAGGAGAGGGTAAAAACAAGATTTTAGCTAGGAGACTTGAGCTCAACTATCAGTCCAAAAGCGTAGGAATCCAGAGGAATTATAGTTATGGCCCAAAATGCAATGGATAAGTAGTCAACAAATTATCAGCTAAACGTCCTCTTGGGAAGCCTTCCTGGACTATTTAATCCAAAGCAGCATGACAGTGGCTCCCTAGTGCGTTATCCCATTTTACTTACATCAAAGTACTTAACAGTTCATGGTATTTCTTTCTCATTTTCTTGTCTTCTCAAGCTAGAAAGTAAATCTATGAGAGTAGGAATTATATGTATTTTGTTCACTGCTGATCTGCAGCACCTAAAATAATGGCTAGAACATACTAGGTATTCAATAAATATTTGTTTAATTAATTGATCAACTGACTAGTGGGTTCTTATCTCAGTTACGCCCCTGAATGTGTAGCCAAGGGCATGTCGTTTACCTTTGCTGAACCTAAAATTCCTCATTTGCAAAATGAGGAGGTTAGACAAGATAAATTCTGAGGTTCATTCCAATTCTAGTATTCTTTTTTTTTTTTATCCTCACCCAAGGACTTTTTTTATTTTTTACTTTTTTTGATATTTTGTTCAGATAGAGTGGAAGGGAGAGAGAGAAACATCAAGTGGTTGCCACCCACACGACCCAACCAGGGTTGGGGACAAACCGCAACCAAGGTACGTGCCCTTAGCGGGAACCGAACCCGGGTCTCTCCAGACCGCAGGCCAACGCTCTAACCGCTGAGCCAAACTGGCCAGGACCAATTCTAGTATTCTTAAAAATAATAATAAATGTACTGTATCCTTTTCCTGACTATCAGTAATTAGGTTTCTACTCACAAAGATTTGATATTATAATGTGTGGATTATCAAAATGTTAGTTTTATTCCAGCTCTCTGCCTTTGAACAAGAGAATGAAAATAAATAACACTCTTTCACTCCAACAACTCTTTCCTTCTACAATTTCTCTCATTCCCAGTCTTATATACCTTCCCACATGAAATACTGCAAGGGTAGTCCATGTAAGTCATTAGAAGCAAGGATTCTCAAATATTTTAGTCTCAGGATCCCTTTATAAGCCAAAATTTTCTGAGGACCCCAATATGGATATAATAGATATAACAGACCCCAATAGATATAATCAATATGGATTATATCTATCGATATTTATCATATTAGAAATTAGAACCAAAAATTTAAACATTAATCTAAAATTAACTAATTAATCCATCATGTGTTAATAAGAATAACATATTTTTAATTTATAAAATACTCTCTCATTTCCAAAATAAATAAACACAAGTTGGAAAAATGGCATGTGATTTTTTTGTAATCTCTTTCGTGGAAGACAGCTTGACCCCATGTCTGCTCCAACAGTCCGTGTGATGCACTATTATGTATCTACAAAGCTGCACCATTTGCTCACAACAGAGTAAGAGGAAAAAGACACATATGTCTTGGTAATAACATGAAAATAGTTCCTGGAGTTGCAAACCCTCTGAACCTGCCTCAGGGACTCCCAGGGGACCTTAAGACCGAACTTTGAGGACCACAGCTATGGAGCTATGGTAGGAGGAATGATGAAGAAAAGTCACAAAGAAGGAAACAAATGTAAGGGCAAAAGAGCAATGATTACCTATGTATTTATGTGTACAAACAAGTAGCAACTTATGAATTCATACATTTTTAAGAGTGCAATTTTAAAAGGAAAGAATTTCTTCCTAGGAAGTTAACAACATGATATTAACTGAAGTACAAAGGGCCAACACCAGCAATACCATTTTAAAGAAGAGAAAATCAGGGCTTCAGACGTTCTGTGAAAAACCTGAAAATATACATACATAATTTCCTTAAGATTCTCAAGGTGATTCATAACCAAAAAAAAGTTAAGAACTACATTTCTACAGAAATATATCAGTAAAAGAGAAAGATACCAAAGACTAAACAAATGCTCCACCAAAAAGCAAAGAAGAAATTTGAGACATGTATTTTCAGTGTTCCCAAATTTACGGATGAAAAAGCTGCTATAATTATATATGACATTGGAACCTAAGGTGACTTTAGAATATTTCTGCACATTTCCCTCACTTGTCATCACTCATTTTAGATATACCCGTTCATATGCAAAGCTCCTCTCAGTTTTTTAAAAGTAGAATAATTTTTGGACAATTGCAGGAATTAGAATGCCTTATAAAGAGAAAGGAATGAAAGACAATTTCAAACTACCTGTTGTCCCACTGAGAATGCCTGGTTGTTGAACTGTTGAATAAATTCTCCTGCCATCTTGTCAGTATCATAAGGGTTGGAGTCAATGCTTTTTTTCTGCAGGAAATCAATCTCGATGGTCATTGTGCCAATACATTGTTTGGTCTTGTCAAATGTATATAAGGACACTAGGGGGGGAAAAAAGAAACATTTTTTAAAATCACAAGGACACCAAATACTTGCTGTGTTTCAAGTAACTAAAAGTTTCGCCTCAATGAATCATAACAAAACTTGACCAAAAGGGGGCTTTATATGGCCTTCAGTGGAGGGACGTAGGCACAGATTTTAAAACAGTACATAACCACTAGAGATTTTCTTCATGTGAATTGATTTGAACATACTGAACAACACTCTCCTTCTACTTTTATTCCTCACCCAACTCTTACAGGGAAAACATAGCCCGCTGCTACCCATAAAAGGCCTCTGTACCCTCCTCAAAATGACAGCATTGGTAGTCCCAGTAAAGCTGACAGCATGCTGTTTCCAAACAGATTTTTCTTTGACACAAGAAAGAGCTAAAGTGAGAGGTGTATGGACTCTTCTGCCCTAATAAAGTAGGATGCAGGACAAAAAAAAAAAAAAAAGTTTTGAAAAATACTGTTTACTACGGGAGTTTGCTTCAAAGCAATTTAGAGTTTGACATTTCTTTTTTTAATACTATAAAAATATTTACTGAGCACTTACTATATCCAGGAAACTACAGTAAGTTCTATATGCTGCACATGCTTTTAACCCATTTTTGTATTAATAGCACTAACAGTATGTGTTAGATGCTTAAAATATTCATGAACTGTTCAAATTCTGTTCTAAACTTATTTCCTATAGTCTAGCTACTTGGGTTATGTACAATACTTTTCTGTATATTTTTTAATACAATTGCTTTTGTAAATCATATTTTTATATTTTGATTTGCTGTCATAAAAAGGGACACACACATATTTTAAAGATAAACGTTTTTCAAAAGCAAACTAACAAAGAAAACCAGGCTAAGAGATGGAATATGTACTGAAGATTACAGAAAAAGCTCAAAGCTCAGCTGGAAGTTTTAGAATACTCTCCTATCTCCTCCACTTCTGGATGTTTTGTTCTTTCTTAACATTTCCCAGAAAGTACAGGTTATTTGCTAAGTAACACTCATAAGCAAGAGGGTTTAATTGTTTCCCCACAGAGCAAAGATGTGTATAGGGTGAAATATTAATGTAAATATGAATTAGTTAATTCAGCAATCCCATTTCCATGTGACTGTCCCAGAAAGACTCTTGAACATTTGCCTAAAAACAGATCTATAGAGAGGTTCATCGAAGCATTATTTGTAATAGTCAAACACTGAAAAAAATGCTGATCACTAGGGAAATGATGAATGAAATATAGCATATAATATGAAATATTATACAGCAATTAAAAATGGTGTATATTTAATACAGATGAATGGCCCATTAAAACATATCATTGAGTTAAAAAAAGGATGTTGCAGAAAGATTTATATAGTACAATACCATTTTGTGCATTCAAGATTTGAAAATAGCTTGGCCGGTGTGGCTCACTGGCTGAGCATTGACCCATGTACCAAGGGGTTCCAGTTCAATTCCTGGTCAGGGTACATGCCCAGGTTATGGGCCCAATTCCCAGTGAGGGGTATGCAGGAGGCAGCCAATTGATATTCTCTCTCATCGATGTCTCTCTCTCTCTCTCTCCCTTCCTCTCTCTCTAAAATCAATAAAGAAAAAATATTTTTAAAAAATGATTCTAAAATAATTCTACAATGTCATAGTATGTATACATGTATGTGTGTATATACACATATGAATATACATGTGTGTATCATCTTCATAGCAAGAAACTTGAGTAAGTCTATTAGAATATCATACTGACTATAGTTTTCAAGTGCATTTAATTTAGGTCAATGTTCCCAAATAGAAAAGACCAAGCTGTTACACCAATTTCAAATGCTATGGGTAGTACCATGGACAGAATCGCAGGCAGCACAATAGTCAGCACCATCATCAGCCCCCAAAATATGCCCTGAAGGTTTCACCCAGAAGCAAAAAAGGGTAGTAAGGATGAAAATATTTTTTCATTTTATGGCCAAGAACAATTTAATGTCAAAGACTAACAAAAATGTTTTTATAAGCAAAAAAAAATTATAGCCAATGCTTTGAAAAAACTTAGACATCACAATGATAGGTGTAACAGTCAAATGTGTTCACTAACGTTCAGTTTGTAATACTTAAAATATGGCATTCCCAGATGAAAAGAAGACTAAATGATTCTTCCAGAAGATTCCTAAAAGCAAAATCATGACTTGACTAAAAAATTCTCACCTTGCAGACAGAACTCCTGTTCCAGAATCTTTGAATTAGTATTCCCTTTCATATCACACTCTCATCCTATCTATGCCTACATCTCTACTTACACAGAACCAGCTTTCTACCTTTATGGCCACACCAGCCACATCACTCAAGCCTCCACACCCTTCTTTTGTCTCATGCTTACTCCATCTTAGCCCCACCTGATCACTTGGTTATATAATTCTGCCCATTAAGTCTGTTTGATTCACTGTTTAAAGAGCTGACTTTACAATCAAGATAAGCATTTCTGGCAGTGCAAAATAAACAAAATTTAAGGAACAATTCGTCAAAATTTATAACCTTGAATGTTCACATCTTTTCACAACAAAATTTATCTACATTAAAGTTGGGGGAGAAGATTAACCAAAGAACTCATATGCATATATGCATTGCCCTTGGACAGATAACAGGGTGGTGAAGGCCTCGGGTGGGGCAGGAACTGGGAGGTGGGGGGCAAGGGAGAATAAAAAGGAGGGATATCTGTAATACTCTCAACAATAAAGAAAAAATAAACAAATAAAAGAATATCTTATAAAATAAAAAGTCTCCGAAAATAAAAGTTAAATTTAAGCTCACTCTCAACTCTATATTTAGAAAAATAAGTTTAAGAAAATTAGAAACCTAAGTTATATACCTGTTTTCTCATTAGATTTAACAAGTGTTCATTTTTATTTCTGTCAATGCCTGCAAATAGAGAATCCTGGCTTTAAGCACTGGGTTCACTTTGGTGCTGAATTCCCCCACTGCCTCCACTTCTCATTATGCTTCAGATAAGGGGGTGACAGTTAAGGGAATCATTTATGTCAGTTTTCCCCAAAATATGGCTGATTAGAACCACATAAAGGGGATTGTTGCCCTGGCCAGTTTGGCTCAGTGGTTAGATTATCGACCCACGGACCAAAGGGTCTTACGTTCAATTCCTAATCAAGGGCACGTCTCTGGGTTGCAGGTTCAATCCCTGGCCCTGCCGGGTTCCTGTGCAAGGCAATCAATCACTGTGTCTCTCTCACATGGATGTTTTTCTCTGGCGTGCTCCATCTCTCCTTCCCTACCCCCTTTTCACTCTATCTAAAAATCAATGGAAAAATATCCTCAGGTAAGAATTAACAACAACAATAAAAAAGGTTATTGGTAAAAACACAGATTCATGACTTTGTCTCCCCAGAGAAGAGGCCTGGGAATCTCTTTTTTAAAAACAAACTTCCCAAATGTTTCTTTTAGGCAAGTTTAGAAAGCACTAATCATACAACTTTCTCCACCGGCATAACATTTAAGTTCCCTCGAACTCAGAAAAAATTAAGTATCCTCAAACAAGTATTTAACATATGATACAACACCTAAAATGAGAATATTAAACACTAAAACAGAAATAGACAAATATAAGAAATGTAATAAGAGTTTGTTGAACTCAGGGAAAAAAACTGAAGAAAAAGAACAAAACTATTTCAGCAGTGAAGAATAATTACAAGTGCCCAAGAGAGAATATATTCAAATTAATATTAATAGGAGGCAGTGAAGAATGACAGAAAAACAACCAAGATAATAAAAACAATTTTAAAAGAACAGAGAGAAGGTGGTTATAATCAAAGACATGCAAAAAAATGTCCAACATATATAATTAGAGCCCCCGAGAAGAGAGTAAAAACAATTGGACTAAAACTCATATTTTAAACCACACTCTAAGAAAATTTTCTGGAAATAAAAGAAAACCTAGACCTACATATTGAAACAACCCATTGTATACCTGGGTTGTTGACTCAGAATGACCAATTCCAAAAATTATCCTAATAAGGATATTAGATTATAAAGACAGAAAAATCGCCGGTTTGGTTCAGCGGTTAGAGCGTCGGCCTGAGGTCCTGAGAGACCTGGGTTCGGTTCCCACTAAGGGCGCGTACCTCGGTTGCAGTTTGTCCCCGGCCCTGGTTGGTCGTGCGGGTGGCAGCCACTTGATGTGTTCCTTTCACATCGATGTTTCTCTCTCTCTCTCTGTTCCTCTCTCTCCCTCCCACTCTACCTGAACAAAAAATGGAAATATGTCCTCGGGTGAGGATAAAAAAAAAACAAAAAAAAAAAAACAGAAAATCCTCAGGATTCCCCAGCAGAAAAACAAATTACTTATAAAGCTAAGAAGATTAGACTGCACCAGACTTCTGAAGAATATCATACAAAGCAAGGCACCTGTGATGTAGCATTTTCAAGAAATTCCAGGAAAGATAACAAGCTAAAAATTGCATATCCTGCCAAACTGCACTTGAAATATCAAAGACAAAGAAAAATAGCTTAAATATACAAGAACTTTGAAAACACCCACACACACATATACATATATATACACACATATATATATATATACATATATATATATACACACATACATATATATACACACACACACATACACTTACTGGAGGAATCTACTAGAGGAGTTTATATGCAATCAAATAGAAACTAGCAAAATGTCTGAGCATGATCATTTAAGAGACTTAATTGTAGAGTTAAGACTAACAAGTATGGGGTCATGTATGGAAGAATCACATGCAAATATTATGCTCTGACAAAGTAGAAAGAAAGTAACTAACAAGAAGGGAGGAGAAAAAGGAAGGTAGAATATGATGATCATTAACTGTTGTATAGGTAATAGATGAGAGTCAAAGAATATCACTTAGAAATGACATAACAGATTTTTTTAAAAGGTTAAGTAAGAAAAGAAAGGTGGGGTACTAAGGGCACCATGAGAGGTGTAAATGAAAAAGTAATCACTCAAGCAAAAATATAAATATTGCTAAATACCAAAATAAAAAATTTAGAATAGCAAAGAAGACATACATAGAGAAACAACTAAAACATAAAATAACAGAATTAAGATCAAACATATCAGTCATATCAATAACTAAATGGGTTTAATAAACCTATTAAAAGAAAAAGATTTTCAAATTAGCTTAAAGCAAAATCTAACTCTATGTTATATACAACAGACATATTTAAAACACAGTGATTCAGCCCTGCCCAGTTTTACTCAGTGGTTAGTGTGTCGGCCTGTGAACCAAAGGGTCGCAGGTTTGATTCCAGTCAGGGTACATACCTGGGTTGCAGGTTTGATTCCCGACCCCAAGTTTGGGAGGCAACCAATTGATGTGTCTCTTTCACATCAATGTGTATGCCTCACCCGCTTCCACTCTATCTATCTAAAAAAAAAAAAAAATCAATGGAAAAATATCCTCTGGTGAGGATTAACAACAACAACAACAAATTAATTAATTAAAAAAAAAACAGTGGGGGAAAAAAGGAGAATCATCTGTAACAAAAATTAATCAATAAAAATAAATAAATAAATAAATAAATAAATAAATAAATAAATAAATAAATAGATAAATAAATAAAAACAGTGATTCAAAAAGGCTAAAAGTAAAGAGATGGGCAAAGATATACTGAACAAATTAAAAACAATAAGAAATCCTGATTATCAAAGTATAATTAAAAATATATTAAACAAGAAAAAGAACACAACATAATATAGCTAAAAGCCACAATTTACAATAAAAAATATAAGTTATGAATATCTACATACCAAATAACACAGAAACTAATATGTCAAGTAGAAAGTACAGGAGATGCATGGAAAAACAGACAGAAAAACACTAATAACAGAAGATTTTAACATACCACTCTCAATACAAGGCAGGTCAAGTGACCAAAAATAAGTCAGACTATAGAAGATCTAAACAGCATAATCAATAAAGTAAAGCTTGTGGATATATATCACTACAGATTGATAACAAAGAATATACCTCCTTCTCAGTGTACCCGAACCATTTCCTTGTGTGAATTGTGAGATGAGACACAAGATTTACCCTCTCGGCAAATTCAAGTATACGCTATCATACCATTAACTGTAGTCACCATTGCTGTACATTCAATCTCTAGAACTTACTCAACTTGTATAACTCAAACTTTGTACCTTTTGACCAACAAGTCCTCATTTTATAAATGTATTCCTCAAAAACATCACCACCATAAAAGAAAAAATTATCTCGAACACCAGTGCCTAGAAAGATTTCTCTGGCTAATTTTCCAATCTCCAATCAATTCATGTATTCCTGTTCTATCTTAGCATTTTTATACAGAGCTTCTAATGGTACTATTTGTGCACATATTTACCTTGTACATATTCTGTGAGCTATGAATATCTGGATATTCTTCCCCCATTAGATAGTAATTTTCAGGCAAACTAGCAGGCAGATAGAGGTAGGGATGTTGGTACCATAACTACTTACTGTCCAGTCTCATAGATCTAACCAGTATTATGATGACAATGAATCTGCAATGACCTTACAACCAGTAACAGGAATTTGTACAGATCTCCATAACTATGAGAAAATCATAAAAAAAAATCTCCCTCAAATAGCTAAAATATATACCTACCTTCTATTTCTTGCCCAATAGAAAGTCCAGCCCATTTTCGCTGTAAAATAAAAGAGAAAAAAAGGACACTTAAAGCCAAATCAATCAAAATTAGATAAATTAGGAATTTCTCTGAATTTCAGGAACACAAAGACCAAAATATGGTATACTCTTAAATGCTGAACTGTGTCCCACTAAAAGATATGTTGAAGCCTTCATCCTGAAACCTGTGAATGTGGCTGCATTTGGAAATAAGATTTTTGCACATAAAATCAAGTTAAGATGAGGTCATTTCAAATTAGGGTGGGTCTGAAGCCAATATGACTGATGCCCTTATAAGAAGAGAAGACAGCCCAGCTGGTGTGGCTCAGTGGTTGAATGTTGACCCACGCACCAAGAGATCGCCAGTTCAATATCCGATCAGGGGACATGCCCAGGTTATGGGCCAAATTCCCAGTTGGGGGCATGCAGGAGGAAGCCAATCGATGTTCTCTCTCATCCAGGTTTTTATTTCTTCCTCTCCCTTCCTCTCTCTCTAAAATCAATAAAGAAATTATAAAAGAAAAGAAGAAGAGAAGACACATGGGGAAAAAATCATGTGACAAAGGAGGCAGAGACTGAAGTGATACATCTACCAGTCAAAGAACAACAAGGATTGTCGGCAACACCAGAAGCTAAGCACGGAACAGATTTTTCCCTAGGGCCGTCAGAGAGATCATGGCACTGCTGACACCTTGATTTCAGACTTCTAGCCTTCAAAACTATGAGAAGAAATTTCTGTCTTTGTAAGCCACCCAGTTTGTGGTACTAACTTGTTACAGCAGTCTAGGAAACTTATGTGCTACAGTTTATATCTGAACATCCATCCCAAAATACAGTAGAGTCAGTACCACGGAGTAGATGCTCATTTGCATAATATAACACTCCCAAAGGTCTTTGTAGTATCAGACAATATTTCAATATTCTATATGTACTGTGGTTAGTTACACTGTTTATTACAGTATCACAAAAAGACAGACATTCAGTTCATAGAAACCAAATTAAAACTGGTCTATGTTTGCTGAAACCCAAGCAGGGATTCAAATCATGAGATGGTCACAACTAGTGATTGTGTACTAGCCAAAGGATTTTCAGTCATTTGCAGCCAGATTTCAGCTTTTCCCCAGGTTGTGACTGGTTACAATGGCAATAAGGTACAGAGGCAGGCCAGACTGTGTTTAGGAAGTAATTCAGGACTGGCTTGGTATAGATTCAAAATTAGTAATCACTGAAAACACTCCAAAGAACACTGAGAAAAATCATTTTTGGCTGAAAATCAATAGTTTGTCCACTCATCTGAACATTGTAGGTTTCGTGGATAGCTAAGAGGATGCTAAATTTTAAATATGTGCAACAGTAAGTGCTCTCCCTTCCACCTTTCTCACCACAGGTCACTTCTCCCTCCTCATCCCTTCACATCCCTCTTCTATAATATCCCATCCCACTCACAGCCAACCTGAAATTCAGCAGCATGCTGGGTGAGCCTAGACTTGGGGTCACAGAGAAGCCACAACTATGATCTGCACTTCAATTCCAAAGATAGCCTCAAAGGATGATAATAATAGTATCTATGGTATGGGGTTGTTTTGAGAAGTAAATGAGCAAATACATGCAAAAGTTACTTAGAACTGTATTTGGCCTATAGCAAATACGGGGGAAATTTTTTAATAGCAGAAAGACAAGGAGAAATAGTCAGAAACCCCATTTCTGACCACCAGAATCCCAAATTGAGCTCTGTGAAAGCTGGCAAACCCTAGAATATACCAAACCATTGATCTATAGGAACAAATGTGAAGAGTAGTCCTGATAATGGAAAAACATCCAAACAGAAAAAAGGGGAATAGTGAGTGAAGATGTCCCATAATTTCTGAGAGTTTCAAGAGATATTTAATAACAAAACAAGTGTTTGATTTCTCTCCCTAAACCTCCAGGAGAGCAAATCAATGCTTATTAGCATACTAGAAGGAGGCAGGGGTAGTATTTACAATGCTTGAGACTGTGAGATCAGCCTCATGCGCAAGATGATAAGGGAGAAAAGAACAGACTCCTACTTGTGGTGTTCCTAGATTATGTATTATGTGCCTGGAGCAGTGCTAGGCAATTTTCCCTCCAAAGAATTTACCAACAGTTACAAATGTGATCATCATCCTTCTAGTCATTATTGGAGCCCAGCAAGTTCGGTTGTAATATGAGATAACAATTACTCCTATCAGATTCTTTAGTTTGACATCACTGTTTTTAAAAATCACTATTAATAGATGTCAATTTGACAAGTAAATGTTATTTTTATATCTTCTCTGTTATCCTGGAAGTTAACATCAAAATAACTTAACATCTTATCTGATAGCTACCTGCAGAATTTTTAAAAATTAGAAAAAAATCCAGGCAATAAAAGCCAAACACAGTAAAATTGGCAATTAAGGCTATGTCTTTAAATTCCCTGTACATTACCTTGATGTTTTTCTTCAATGTGGATCAATACAGTTATAAGGTGATTGCTTTAAATGGACTGCTTCTTCTATGACTTTCACGAATGGAAGAGAATAAATTAACATCTGAGTTACCTGAGGTAAGCTGAATGCAATGCTCCCTGGAACCACTGATGGATGAGTCTTCAGTGTAAATGTGTACCTGTGGTTGGTAGAGGTCCTCACAATCACATGCCTAAAAGACAGAAACATAATCAGCACTCCGTGTCAAAGGAGATGAAGAATATCACTTCTAAATATCTGCATTTCCAACAACTGAGACTTGATGAGTACCAGGTGGAAAATGGCATTATATGAGAGTCCTTAAGAACTAGGAGCATTGCCCTGGCCAGTTTGGCTCAGAGGTTAAGAGCATCAGCCTGCGGACCAACGAGTCGCAAATTTGATTCCTGGTCAAGGGCATGTACCTTGGTTGCAGGTTCAATCCCCAGCCCTGGTAGGGGTTATGTGGGAAGCAATCAGTCTCTCTCACATCGATGTTTCTCTCTCTCTCCCTCCTTCCCTCCCTATCTAAAAATCAATGGAAAAAAAATCATTACGTGAGGATTAAAAAAAAAAGAAAAAAAAGAATTAGGAGCATAAATTTCATTTCCAAAAAATGTCAGCAATTCAAAATGTTTACCATAAGGAGAACCTTGGGGTAAACACATATCAAGCAGAATGAGGACCAAGTTCAAGAAGTACATACCACCCTAGCCAGTTTGGCTCAGCCGTTAGAGTGTCAGCCCGCAGCCCATAGGACTGCAGGTTTGATTCCTAGTCAAGGGCACATACCTGGGGTTGCAGGTTCGTTCCCCCCGAGTCATGTGGGAGGCAAACAATCGATGTTATCTCTCTCACGTTGACACTTCTCTCTCCCTTCTCTCTTCCACTGTATCTAGAAATCAGTAGAAAATATCCTCCAGTGAGGATTACAACAAAAAGATAGAGCACATACCAGAGCAAAACCAACTTCATTACATTTCCAATTTACATAAAACTGATCACAGTGATTAGAGTCCTTAATATTAAGTAAAAACTAGATGAATTTCCTCTCCTGAGTATTATTTCACCTCCTAAATAGGATAAAGGGAGGAGAACCAAAGATAGAAGAACCAGGGTATAAGAGTAAAAAAAGTCAGTCTTTAGGACGAGTGTTTAAATCTCTCTGCAGACTCTCACAACAGGCTGAAACATTAACCTATAAAAGTAAAAAGATGGTAAAAATTTAAAAAATTTCACAAAATATATCAGCTTTCATATAGATATCAGTATTTACTATTTTGTGCTAATTCACCCTGCTCAGAAGTTACCTATAAACAGATAAAATATAGTCATTTCATGATACTCTCTTACACCAACAAAGTACTAAGAACTGTGTATGAGATAGAAGCCTCAAACTTTATGTCCTTTTTAAATTATCTTTTAGAATGCTATAATTTTTAATATTAATGGTTTATGTTTCTATACATGTCAGTTTGCCACTAGAACACAATTCCTTATAGCTACTATATTTTAAGTAACCCCATCATGAGCACAGTGAACATTTGACATATGTAAAAGAAGTCCATAAACAAATCCTCACACTGATTATCTACACTCCAGTTTATCCATGGAAAGTTCTGTGTTCAACTTAGCATCGTAGAATTTTTAGGACTGAAAACAATATTAATACAGTCATGTGGTAAAACCCATTAGTATGAAGCTGAAAACCATAGATTATTACCAAATCTAACTCTATAAAACTCATGTATTTCACAGAAAGCTTAAAAAACAAAAACAAAAACAAAAAAAGGCTGTCAAAATCCTTCTTTTCCTTATCTCCCTAGTCTGCCTTCTGGACCAGCCCCTTCATCTCCTTACCTCTACCAACCTCAGAAGCATATGGACGGCACTGAACTTGATAGCAGGGCCTTTAGAAGTTCTGACAGTGGGTGACATGAATCAGTTAAAATAAATGACAATGAAAAATGCTTGTAAAGCCCTGGCCAGTTTGCTAAGTGGTTAGGGCATCAGCCTGCCGACCAAAGGGTCATAGGTTCAATTTCCTGTCAAGGCCAGGCACCTGGGTTGCAGGTTCAATCCCCCACCCCAGTCGGGGTCATGCGGGAGGCAACCAATTAATGTGTCTTTCTCACATCGATGTGTTCTCTCTCTCTCTCTCTCTCTCTCTCTCTCGCTCTCTCTCTCCCCCCACCCCCTCCCTCTCTTCCATTCTTTCTAAAAACCAATGGAAAAAATATCCTTGGATGAGGATTAACAAAAACAAAAAAAACTTGTAAAGATCTGACATTTATTTGTTGTGCATCTTCCAATTTTCATGTCTTAAATTATCTTAGTAGTGATCAAAATGGCTAATATTTATTGAGGACTTATTAATGTGGTAGGTACTGTTCTAGGTGCTTTATTTGTATAACTCAATCTTTACATCTACCCTGGAAGATATCATCATTATCATCATCATCCCCATTTTACAGACGAGGACACAGAAACACAGAGATGGTAACTTATCCATGGTCACCAAGTTCGTAATTGGCAGAGCCAGAATCCAAATTCAGACAACCTGACTCCAGAGCCTAAAACCTAACGACAACGCTATATATGATTCATATGACCAGTATGTTTAATTCTGCTAAGAAAAACAAAAAACAAGTTATAAAAATCAATGTATGATTTTAAAAACATTACAGTTATGAAAGTTTAATACAGTAAAGACTGAAATACATAACTCCTTCTCATCTCTTCCATTTTCTAACTCTGCAAGAGGAATAAAAATTTTTTTTAATTTTACTTTTTTTAAAAAATTATTATTATTTTATTTTTGTTACAGATGTTTCTCCTTTTTTTCCCCATTGACATCCTCCTCCCTATTCCCCTCACCCTGCCCCCGGCTTTGTTGTCCGTGCCCATTGGTTATGCGTACATGCATATAAGTTCTATGGTTTATCTCTTCCCTCTCCCTACCACCCCCTCTTCTGAGGGCTGTCAGTCTGTACCCTACAATAAAAATTATTTTCAAATTTACTAAAAAATAAGGGCTCTGTAGAACTTTGTAAAATACCATTTAGTAGGTTAGAAGAAAATCAAAGTTAGATACTCACTGGCCAGACTGGAAACCTTTTTCATTCACAACTGCACAGTTGGTTAAAGATAATTCATCTGTAGGACATCTCGCAGCTACCATACTCTATAAAAATCAATGATTAGGAAAATAAAAAATTATCTTTTATAAACTTAAAGAACAGTTTATGTCTTCCTGTCCTCTATTCCTCATCACCTGTTATAAACACCTATTATTTTTTACTTCCAGCACCCCTTCCTCTGTGATAATAGCAAACCCTTCCTTTGGAAAACTGTTCCTTCCTCATTCCACATGCTTTAGCGGGTGTGCCAATCACAGTACACATACAACCATATAGAGTCCTATTCTACCCATGGGACCTTATATAGACCGGTGACAGAAGAAAGGTATTCTCCTTGGCCTCACTGCCACATGGAAGATATTCTTCTCTAAGAATAAAACTATCACAGAGAAAGCAAAGGTAACAGAGACACAGACAAACAAACAAAAGCCCTGAAACACAGACCTGGCAACCAAGTTAAAGTCCATGAGTTCTGAACGTTGGTTATAAGCCAGTAAAGTCCCTTTTTTGCTCAAGCTTATTTGAGTTGGTTTTCCATCTCTTCAAACAGAATAATTTTGATTGATTCAAACACAATGAAGTAAATTCAGTAAGTCTGATAAAGTGTATCATGAAAAGTATATTTTTATAAGAGATCCCAAGTGGCTCTAAACTGTATCTCCTATAGACTGAGAAAAACCATCTTCCAAATATCTCCCAACAAAGATAAATACAGGGTTATATTTTTAAAAAACAGCAAATAACAATCTTTTTGATCAATAGCAACTAGCAAAATATTCCTTCATATGATGTATTTAACCAATAACCTTCCATCATTCTAAGGTTTCTTAGTTAGTGAAATATAACACTCATAGTCCATCTGTTTATGACTAAAGTGTCCATTCTTCAAACCTCAAGCCAAAGCTTATTCTTCTTAAATCTGTCTCCCAAATACAAATTTATAGAGGAAGACAAATTACTTTTTGCTTCATTTTTGTTTTAACCAAAAGCTAATTTCAATACAAGTTATCTCAGTTGTCTAGAGCAGTGGTCTCTACAGTGAGATATATGCACCTGAAGGGTTTGCCAGATAATCCAAGTATCAAAATAAACTGAATTTAGAAACTGATCTCTGGATAGGTGTATCACAAAATATTAAACAAAGAGTTTAAAGAATAATGAAGCATCACTTTGTTTTCTGTATTATTAATAAATAAAAGATAAGTGAGAATATATTTTTCATCTTTAGCTCATCCTTTTTATATCTTTTGGTATATGCTTTATTATGCATATAAACTATTAGTATATAAATTATATATATGATACATGATCAATACATTTTTTACTTATAGCATTTATGATAAGGTGTTTGGACACCTCTATTTTAGAACACGAGATGAGTACAGTCTAGGTCACACGCTTGCTTTCTGAATGTGGTAGTATTTTTGCCCATGGTCACAATGTGACCAGCCATCTGACAAAAATATACTCAGCCTTTTAGTTTCCCACCTACCCTGTGGTCTCTTTCACCTACAAGCTTCTTTCTTTTACTATAATCCTCCCTTATCCATGGTTTCACTTTCTACAATTTCAGTTACCCACAGTCAACAGCAGTTCAAAAATATTAATTGGAAAATTCCAGAAATAAATAATTCATAGATTTATATTGCATGCCATTCTGCGTCGCATGATGAAATCTCGTGCTGTCCTTCTCTGTCCCGCCCAGGATGTGAATGATTCCTGTTGTCCAGCGTATCCATACTGCATATGCCACCCGCTCCTCAGATATCTAGTAGCTGTCTGTTATCGCACATTCACATAACTTTTATTAGTTTATTGTTATAATTGGTTTATTTTATTTTTAGTTATTGTTGTTAATGTCTTGCTGTGCCTAATTTATAAGTTAAACTTCATCGTAGGTATGTATGTATAGGAAAAAACATAGTATATATAGAGTTTGGTACTATTTGCAGTTTCAGGCATCCACTAGGATCTTAGAACATAACCCCTGCAAATAAGGGGGAGGTTTACTGTATATTTCTGTCTCTCCCCTAACTCTGAGTCCTTTGCCTGCCAACTCCAACTCATTCTACAATTCTTAGCTCAGACATTACTTCTGTAAGACATTCTTAGACTCCTTACCTTCCCCACAAAACTGATAAAATAAACTTCAAGTGGAAGTACCTGACCACACTTTTATTTTATTGTCTGTTTAAATGTTTGCACTGAATAAAAGACAGTAAGCTTCTCAAGAACGGAGACTATATTTTGCTCCAGTTTTTGGTTCCTGGGGCAGTACAGGATCTGGTACACAGAGAGTGCTCATCAAACATTTGTTGAATAAATAAACTTATGGACCTACAAATCTATCTCAGCTGCAGAATGAGCAATTCAAAGAATATGTACACAAGGAACACTTCAAGCTTATTTAGGAAGTGATATAATTGAATTATCTACTAGTCCAAAATCACACAGAATTGATATAGCCAAAGTAAAAAAAAAAAAAAATTAAAAAGTTAACCTCTACATTTATAAACTTGTTTACTTGTCAAAGAGTTGGTGTCCTTCAAAAAAAAGAGTGAAAAAATCTTTAGAAGTCTTCTGTCCGGTCAAATAAAACAGATGCTGTGAGCAAAAGGCCTCCCTGCTGGAATCCAGAAGCATCTGTGTTTTTATGGTACAGCCAAGCAGGGTTCTCATTTTCTCATAAAAACATAAGTCCTTGTAAATATTAGCTGTTTACTTACCACAGTAATGTGAAGGGAAAATTCCACAATTTTGCTAACACTGACCTTGCCTCTAGGAAACAATAATCAAAGCTCAGCCACTATAGCCATGTAGCTATTAAGAAATAAAAATACAAAATTGATAAGCAATTTTATACAAGTTTAGTAATCTGAGTGGCTGTAAAATGTTTTCATTAATTTAAAATGTAAAAAATTTATTAATTCATTGCTACTCAAAAGAATGAAAATCTCAACAAATCTTTAGTGGAAAAAATATATCGCTACTTATTTGAGAGACTTTAATGTACAGAAAGAGAATTTGCTTTTCTTCCTCAAAAAAATTGGAGGCATTTTAATCAGGACTTGTCTGGGCAACATTATACAGTTTTTGAATTTAAGTAACATAATTTTGTCCAAAGATTCACTTTAAAATTGGATTAAGTATATACTTTACTGTTTACCTATGTATTTAGTAGGGCAAAGTAAGCAGAAAATAAACCAGAATGCAATGCCTGACAAGAAGAGCTTGTTACCAAATAACTTGCCCCTACCCTAACTGCAACACTCATGAACCCACTGGTTCCTCCTCTGTGGTGCTTCAGGCCTTGGGTATGTCTCTCTAGAGTCTAGAGACACACAAATCCCCGACAGAAAAGGGAAAGTAGGATGGAAAACATAAACTTGCCCACAGCCAGCTCAGATGACAAGTCCACTCAATTATTTCTTGTCAGGCCATCTTTCCTGAAAAATAACATTTCAGAACTGCACTGTTCAATAAAGTAACCAATAGCACAGAGCGATTCCATAGGCCTGAAGACAGGTATTACTGATGACTTTCCTCACATTGTTCTAGATTAGTACTAGCCAATGAAACTTTCCTCAATGACAGCTACTAGACACTTGTGGCACATGAAAGGTGGCTGGTACAACTGAGCCACTGGGCCAGAGCAACATTATCATTTCTTTAAATCAACATTTTATTGCAGAAAAACATACATACAGTAAGGTACATACATTGTAAGTGTTTGGATAAATAAATTTCTACAAAGTGATCACACCCAAGGTAACTAACATCCAGTTCACGAAAGACATTACCAGCATTCCATACTGCCCGCCCCAGTCACTAGATTTTCACCCCCAACTACAGATAACCACTATCTTGTTTCTATCACCAGATGGAAACCAAGACTAGTTTTGCCTCTTATGGAAAATTTTATCTAAATGGAAGCATACATCATGTATTACTTTGTGTTCGACTTCTACCCCTCAATATTATCATTGTGAAACTCATCCATGTTGTTGCATGTGGTAATAACTCATTCATTTTCTTTGCTTCTTATAGTATATAATTATATTAATATATCACTATTATTTGTCCATTAAAGTTGTTTCTAGCTTTTAATTATGAAGACTGTTGCTATTAACATGTCTGTACATGTCTTTTGAATAACATACGAATATATTTCTATTAAATATATTCCCATCTCACCTCACCCAGCCTCCAGTAGAGTTGCTGGGTCATAAACATACATGGCATATGTTCAGCTCTAGGAAGTTCTGTCTAAGGTATACAGTGTGTTGTTTTTGATATAAGTATACCTTGTGCAATGATTACTACAATCAAGTTACACAGTTATCAGTGTGTGTGTGTGTGTGTGTGTGTGTGTTGTGGTGAAAACACTTTAAGATCTACTCTATTGCAAATTTCAAGTATACAATATATTATTAACTATAGTTACCATGCTATCTAGCATTTTAAATGGTTTCTATAGGAAGGTCAGTCAGGGTACCAAATCTATTATCCTGCCAGAAATAACTATACTTTCTTGAATGTTTGAAAATGGGATACAGGTGAAGGCATTAAAGGGGAAAAAAAGACATTAAACAGAATCTGGAAATAACAAGGTTGAGTATACATTTGGAAAGAAATCTGGGAAAAAATATCTTCAACAATTTATACCAAACTAAATAGGAATGCTCAAAATACTGTCAATGGTTCTCAACTTGAGCATGCATCAGAATCACCTGGAGAACTCTTAAAAGAGACTGCAGGGGCCCTGGCCAGTACGGCTCAGTTGGTGGGAGCATCGTCCCAAGCACCGAATGGTTGTTGGTTCAATTACCAGTCAGGGCACATACCTAGATTGTGAGTTCGATCCCCGGTGGGGGCACGTATGAAAGGCAACCTATCGATGTTTCTCTTATACATCAATGGTTTTCTCTCTTTCTCTCCCCCCTTCTCTCTCCTCCTATCCTGTTCTGTAGAGACAGAGAGAGAGAAACTGCAGAGGCCACACCTCAGTATTTCTAATTTAATCAGTCTGGGGCGGGGCCTGAGA